ATGACTTTTTTTTTNTTTTTTTTTGAAACACAATGATTCATCCCGGCTGTATTTTTCTTATTATGCGGCTTTGTTCGTTTCTTGTGTTGAAAAAGCAAACCAAATATTTCACATGGCATTCAGTTGAACAATGGGGCAAATTCAAAAAACAAATTCATATTTGAACATACGGTTGAATCTGCTCGCAATCCGAACTCATTTCTGATGAAAATAGTACAATTCCAAAACGTGATATTATTATTTCATTTCTGTATAGTTTCAAGAATTTTTCGCAGTCACTTCACCATTTTATAGCGGAAAGAGACAATTTCCATCGGTCGTTTAATTAAAGCTCAGAACATAAACGAAACAATATTTCAGGGCGATTTTTCCTTCACTTTGTATAATTTCATTACCGATTACTTCTTCAAATCAGTCTTCTTCACATAACTTATGTTGGGGTGCCTTTCTCTCACTACTGCTAAATAGCGGCATCATCAAAAAATGCGCATTTTCATCGATTCTCAAAAAATACAATCTAGTGTGAGGAATGAATGAACAAGTTCACGCGAATTGACTGTAATATTTAGCTACAACTATCTGTATCATGCTTCAGAGTGCTTCTACTTTTACTTGTACGAGTACTTTGTTGTGAAATTGCTGGATTGTTTTATAGCAGCAATTTTTCGTAACTGACTGAGTACATCGTGAATCTCAAACAGATAGTAGCGGATGTAACACTGATATTTTGACACACAATCAAAAAAAGCAAAAAGCAATTATTTCACTGTTGGAGTTTGAATCAACAAATTAACTGAATCATTTCATGAGTGAATGCATCAGATAAAACAAAACTCTTCTTCGTTCGTTGATGACATAGAATTTCTTCATCATAACCATCACCTGTATATATATATATTGCTTTATACATGCTATCATCAGACAGTAAACATCGTCTAGATGACTTGTACCTTACCCATTCAGCAATTCCATCATTTTCACTCATCTTCACAAAGCATCTTTATTACCATCCGTCTGCACCCATCCATAAGTGTACCCAACTTCCTTCCGCTCTTTACCTCAGTAAATTTGTGTTTTTAGTGCGCATCACCTTGACTTAGTCTCCTTTTTTCAGTTGCGATCTGCTGATTTATTATCAGTTTACGTAGCTTTATGTGAATTTATTTACTCACATGAAATATTCATTATTCAATCGTCTTCTTGAGTCGTAAGTGTTTTTTTGCGACGGTAACTAGAAGTGCTCGAGTTACATGCTTGAATCTATAAATTTGAAGTTCTGTCGAGCGTGACCTCTTTGAGGGTTCATCATTCGGTATGACCTCTCGACTCCATTCGAGTGTTCATCATTCAATTTCACCATTCGAGGTTCATCATTCAGTGATGATCTTATCCATCCATAATTTATGAGGAATTTTTAACCCTTCAAGCATTCGTCATCTGACGCGACAGTCGTAATGAAATGATGAAAATTTATGACAGTCGTCATTGCGAAGATTTTTTCCCAAACAACTGATAAGAAATTTTCGCAGTCCGGATAAGAAATAGTACAATAAAACATAAAGCATCAGTTGCTCATTGGTAACTGATGAACACTTTTTCACTTGAGATACATCAACTCATTCCGTATGGTGTTTTGACGAGCTCTTTATCAAGGCTTTCATACTTTAATCCGTGTGGTGTTTTGACAAGCGTTTATAATTTATACTTCAACCAAATGGATATTTTGCCATCAGCCGCAATCGTGTTGTTCTATTATCATTGCTTAGAATAAGTTCAGTGTGTTGTTCGAAAGCAATAGTGAGTTGAAATCGCCTTAGGGTGGTGTTTTGATGAATCTATCGCATTTACTAACTGATGTGTGCGAGTGGAGAGATAAAAGATGAATGATTACAGCTGTGAATCAGTGTGAGAAGGATTTGTGTATGGTTGCAGATCTTTTCGCGAATATCTCATATATTTCAGAGCTCCCAAATTTCTTCAGATTAGTCACTAAACAAGCATTAATTAATGCAAGAATTCAAGGCAACTGTCGGTATGGGGTTTCGTTAATAGTATCACAAGAGTGTCGAACAACACTGATCGCAACCATCGCCCTTAATTCAGAAACTAACATTCCTGAGCGATTAACGATGAAAGGAATGAAAATATTGCAAATGTTTTGACATTTCCAAATGGTTGGTCTGACTATGAAAGAATGACTGTTCAAAACTGCTGATGAAAAACTATCCCGAATTGAATGACTCTCTATGACCATTTATCGTTGTGTTGACTGTTAGCAGAGAAATGAAAGAGATTCGAAAAAAGAACTGTGCAAGAACTGATATATATATATATATATTGAATGAAAAATAATCCACACAAATTTCTGGAATCTCAAATGAATTTTTCAAATGAAAGAGAAATTTTTTTTCCTACAATAATTCCACTCTCACTTTTCCAGTTTTCTTTTCCACTTTCATTCAGTGCAAACATTCGGAACTGAATTGCTAAAAGAGTATGCAAGAACCGCGTTCAAATCTGTAACGATTCAACGGATTCAGTCAGAAAACTATTTTAATATGTTCGGTGATCAATGTTCATCTGTAAACAGTTTATGAGTGACAAAATGAAAATAAAATTCATCGGTTTTTTTAGGATTAATTCGAATAACTTGCTTGATGAAGCGATTTCAACGATGTGTTGAATCCAATCAATGCACTGCGAATAATTTGTGTAAAGTGCGCTCTGATCGTCGTTTTTTTTCGTCTTATCAGTATAGTAATCAGTCTGTTGTGTTTTTTGTGGCGCGATAAGCATCCTTATTGATGAATGCTTTTCAGTGTTTCCGATTTTTTAGGAGTGTTTATCTTTACAATCAAGATTTTCTTTCGTGAATGTATTCAAATCAACAATTCAATTACATTGAGTTCGATGGAAGTGAACAATTGATGCGATAGATATCACTCGAACATTCGCTTCGTTAAGAGGAACAGATGAGCATTCTGTTGGAAATTCTTTAAGAACACATTCACGAACTCAGTCTGAGAAATTCAATTAACATCTGGTTAATATTTCAAGAGCGTATCGTTTGAGAAAAGATGATGTGTTGAATGCTTGAGCTCATTTGCCTTCTTGTTGCAGGTAATCAGTTAGGAATGGAAGTCTCACCACTTCCATTCGTTATTTACCTTAATTGAATGGAAAATTCAATGCATTCAAAGATAAAGAAGGGTCGCGTGAGTGCTCGTGTTTATACTCCGATATCATCACTTATGACTCGTGAATAACAACACTGTTTATCAAATCATTTTCCAAACCTCAAAAATTAAAATCGATTACTTTTCTTGTTCGATCCATATATTTTCTTCATATGCTCAAAAAATTTCGCTTCGTACTCAAATTACGAGAAATAAATTTGCTAAAAACAAAGAGCAATGCCATCGTCTCACACTAATAGGATCAAATCTACGTTACTTGTTTTCTCACTGAAATACCTGAAACAAGTTCACTTTCTGCTACATCACAACAAACTCTAACAATGTGTGATTTATTGAAACAATTCTACTTGTCAAACTTGATTGGAAAGTATGGTTGCGGTGCCCTTACAGCTCTATATTGAACTGTCTTCTGCGTTGAGATAGTTGTTAAATTATGAGATGAAGCAATATTTCCTCATACTTCCTCAGACATTTGAAGGATATTCATGCTGGAGATGATGAAGTACGGCAACTCGTTTTTAATGATCGCTGAATTGCATTGTTTTCGAATGTTCGTTTNCAAAAAAATTGTTTAATTCGCTCTCCAAAACGCGTCAACTTCTTACAAAAAGTTATCATTCCACGAATGCCATCCAAAATATGATGAATACGTGTGAAAAGAACAAGAAACTGAGTTGAACTTTCATTCATTCATTATTCTAATTGAAACTGAAGCAGATGCGCTATTGTTTACATACAATACGTAGTGTTTGTTCCCGTTCTTAAAGTCAACATAAGGCAGACATAATTTCCATAAAGACTTTCTAAACTGATTCTTTCAACTAAAATTGCTGATCAAGTGTCTAAGTTTTTTACACGCATTTGTTCGAAGAAATTCTGTGAAAAAACAATAAAAAGCAGTTATCGCCAATAGTGTTCGTAGTTAGTATGAGTAATATTGAAATGAACTGAGAGTAGGAGAAACTGACTGGATGAGAAAGTAGTTGCAGAAGGATGTTTACTGAGTAGTCATTTTGAGTTACTTCATCAGTTAGCATTTGTGATCAATGTAATCCTAGAAGAGCGCATTCACTTCCCAATGGTTCACTTGCTCACCACTTCGCTCATTTTTTGCACTACTGAAAGCCTTGCGAATACCACACTATATGAAATGATATCCTAAAATATTGAAGTCTTCATAAATTGTTCCTTTCCATTCTGAATAAATCGACGTCTCACATCAGTTTCGATAGAACAAACATAGCTTTACTACCTTGCATCTTACAACTCTTCATTATTAGCTGTACTATGTATTTTAACCTAACACATCTCCATTCATGGAAATTTCATCTTTTTCGGTATCAGAAATTGTCTTCGACGTGCTGTTCGTATTCGTAAAGCATTCTTCGATAGACCGGATATCACTTGCAGAGTACTTCACTGAAGTTTTCTGTTAGATTTGGCACTATTACGAGCGCTCGAAAATTTAACGATTGATTTGATGCAATAAATGTCCACTATTCAAAGGAACATAAGGACAGTATGCAATAAAGGCAAAAATTAGAATAAATAATAGCAGAATATGATGCAATAAAAATAATGTTCCCAGCAGGGAAACTCGTCATTGGCATTCACGGAACTCATTTGATAACAACGTATTCAACTAAACGCATATGAATGCTTCTTTGAACGTTCAACTGATTTCGTAATCAGTACGATGATTCGAATTTCGTGCATTGGCCATTACCAAAGAATGACGATAATAGCGCCTCGGGGCAATTCTCGATTAGATCTTTCGAATGAGCAAATAAACATCGATAAATCATGCCTGTTCATCCGAGCTCGCAAACCGACATGCTGACAGTTTTGTGGCGACGACGAGTTTTTCGGAAATTCGTGAATAATTCTGTATGAAGATAAATTTTTAAAAAATGCATGTTGTTGTGTGATATTCAGGAATTTTAAAGAGATTTCAAGTGTTTGATGCATTTTGTCTGACAAATTTTTTCCTCCACTTGAAAAAA